AAAAAAAAAAAAATTCCTCCTCCAAAGAAACAGTTTTGTTAATTAAGTGCATCAGAATTAGACTAATTGTAAAGACTCAGATTCAAGGAATTAAAAATTCCTTATCATTACTGTGTTTATCTTGCTCACCACAGTGTTATCCCCAGTGCCTAGCTCATTTTGCGGCAAAGAGGGCCTTTAAAAATGTTGTTGAAGGAATATATGAAAGGATGAATCTCAAACTCTTGCCCAAACACTGTAGATCTCTGTTATATAGGATTGGGAACTTTTCTACCCCCAAGTAGTTAAAATATATCCTAAAGGTCTTTTCTTATTATTTGCTGACTTAATTTCCTATTCTCAGTGCAACTTCTGTGCAGTTATTACAAATATTATATTCATGAACTACATATTAATTAGGTTTTGTACGTCTTCTCACTGAACCCGTTCTAGCCCCATAAGTCTGGGGTCTAGATAAGTCTCACAATGTTTTTTCATAAGAAAGGCAATTCAGCGCATAACCTATATATTATGAAAAAACCACCAGGAGAACCTACAGCAGCACCCTGTGATCAAACACACTGATATCTCTGCAGCAAAGCGTAAGAACAGTCACACTAGTAGTATAAATGAAGGCTATAAATTGTTGCTTCAAGGCAGGTTTTGCAACAAACAGTTCATGTTAGATCAGGGTTTTTGCCAGAGTTGTGGAGACCTGAAACGGGTAGATGGTAAAGTACTTCAAAAGACTCCTACGGGGACTTCCCTGGTGGTGCAGTGGTTAAGAATCCGCCTGCCAATGCAGGGGACACGGGTTTGAGCCCTGGTTCGGGAAGATCCCACATGCCGCGGAGCAACTAAGCCCATGCACCACAACTACCGAGCCCGTGAGCCACAACAACTGAGCCTGCATGCCACAACTACTGAAGCCCGCACACCTAGAGCCTGTGCTCCACAACAAGAGAAGCCACCTCGGGACTTCCCTGGTGGTACAGTGGTTAGGAATCCGCCTGCCAGTACAGGGGACACGGGTTCGAGCCCTGGTCCCGGAGGTTCTCACATGCCGTGGAGCAACTAAGCCCGTGCGCCTCAACTAATGAGCCCATGTGCCATAAGTGCTGAAGCCCACGCACTTAGGGGCTGTGCTCCGCAACAAGAGAAGCCACCGCAATGAGAAGCCCACGCACCACAACGTAGAGTAGCCCCCGCTCGCCACAACTAGAGAAAGCCCGTGTGCAGCAACAAAGACCCAATGCAGCCAAAGATTTAAAAAATAAATTAATAAAAAAAAAAAGGGCTTCCCTGATGGCGTAGTGGTTGAGAGTCCGCCTGCCGATGCAGGGGACACGGGTTCGTGCCCCGGTCCAGGAGGATCCCACATGCCGTGGAGCGGCTGGGCTCGTGAGCCATGGCCGCTGGGCCTGCGCGTCTGGAGCCTGTGCTCCGCAACGGGAGAGGCCACAACAGTGAAAGGCCTGCGTACCGCAAAAAAAAAACAAAACCAAAAAAAAAGAGACAACAGGCCAGATTTGGTGTACAAGTGGTAGTTTGCCAACTCCTATCTTATTCTTTGAATTCCCAGCAAATGACAATATTTTTCACAGAGAAACTCAAGAACGTATTTATCAAATTGAACAGGATATTAATAAACCCTAGTTAAAATGAATTAAGCATAGGAGAAAATGTTTGGTGGCTATCCTTGCTGACAGTTTCACCAACCACTGACTATTTGCCAATTTCTTACCTAGAGTGTAGGCTACGAAGTTGAGGATGCCCACTACAATCCAAACCCAATCAGGTACATGCTTGTGACCTGGTGCTGTAAAGGAAAGCAACTCAGAATTTAACACAGTCTAAGTACAATTGTTCTTACCATAGCCCATACTGCCCATGAGAAATGTTTCTATTTATTAAATAGAAGCTGAAGTACTTTACAATGTATTTCGAATGCAGAACTAGGTAAATATTAGAATGTATCAGCAAACTGACAAAACAACAGTAACTGCCCAACCCCTCATAAACAATAGGCATTTATTTTGAGCTTTAATCATAACTCAAGACTATCTTCACTTGAAAATTACTTACGTGCCTAGAATGAAAAATAATGTTTTTGGAATTCAAAAAATGCTTGTGTTTAATCTGATCCTTGTTGTTTATGATTATACTACAAACATGTATTAAGCTTTCAACCTATACTCTCTCACTAAATTATTAATTAGCTGAACAAAAGACCTTTTGATTTGTGTCTAGGTAAACTACCTCAACTGGATGATTCTGGCAACAAAATCGTTCTGAAATTTCTGGACCTCACTTTTCCCCCACCTAAGATAAAACAAGTGAGATTCAGCTCTGGGTTCTAGTCCTGGCTCTGTGACCAACGAGCAGTGTGGCCCTGAATATACCATTTAACCTTCCTGCCTTCCACTTCCCAGATATACTGGGACTAGATGGTTAATCTGGCCCTTCAAGTTGTATGACTTGGAGAAATACATATATTTACGTATTTTTAGTTCTCTTAGTAACTAATAGTCTTATTTAGTCAGAGAAAATACTATTTCTAGTTTCAAAGATAAACTTTTGAGGCTGTTCTGAGGATTAAAATACAATTTTAAAAAACCCCACAATATCAAAACCATGCTTAATGAAATTTAAGCATGGTAACGGTAATGATCTTCAATTACCATTTTATTACATATACAGAAGCTATGTCTAAAATTTTCAGTTGATAAACTCAGGCATAGGCAGAGTTTCAATATTCATAATTCCTATAATATCAAAAGTCATTAAGTGTTTGAAACTCCAGATTCTCCTACAAAAACAATGTTTTCAGTGATTGTTAATTCTCTAGGT